ACGATGGTATAGAAGCATGGTGCTACCATGCACCGCTATGGCCATTAGGGAAGCGACATTTCTCGAGAAGCTCCAAGGCCCGTTTGTCCTTCTGCAGGTATTAGTACGCGTGCCATTGGCGTGACTGAGATTACCTGCGTCACCCTTTTTATTGTTAGAGCGAAGAGGTCGGTGCCACTGGGATTGTCTTCATGGAGCTTCAAAAACGCATGGGATGAGGCAGACAACTTGTCCATCATTTCCACATGTAAACCAAACCTCGAGTACTAGCGCCATATACGGTGCTATAAACAAATGCAATCCGAAATGATTATTTCCCTTGCTCTTCATACACTACCCAGCATTGCTTCTTGTGGCCTGGTGGGAAATCCAACTAACTACGTTAGCCTAAACGGTTTCTCGACTGCTCGGTTTCATCGCACCGCCTGTCGCGTCGCAGTAGCATGCTAATGCGCTCGATGGCAGTCGCACCATCTGCGGCGCAGGTGCCCACTCCGCCCACGGCGAGGCAACGCGCCTTTGCCCTAGCCGGCATGCTGTACGTTCTCGTCTCGCTAGGCACTGGTCTCTGGTACCTCTCCCTCCTCTCGCCCAGCCTCGCCAACGACCTCTGGTGGGCGGGGTACTCGCCGGCGCGCCACGAAGCCTTCCTCATCGACGTCATCAACGCGCAGCTGATGCTAACACGCGCCAGTGCCCTTAATGTCTACGCCGCCGACGCGACCGTCAACAAGGTCTACGCGTCGGCGACGGCATCCTCCACCACAATCCCGCCAACGTACGCTCGGCGCATTGTCTTTAGTGAGCTGACGTCGATCGAGTACGCAGTGCCGCAGCTGCGTCTTCTCAGCGCGCGCTGGTCGATGCGCATGTGTGTGCAGCACTGCTGGGTCGACTTCAACAAAACGTTTCAAGTCGCCCACACGGAGCTGCGGCAGCGCCGGTGCGAAGAGAGCTATGCGACAAACGCAGCCGTTTATATGGAAGCCACGTTGCGCAATGTGGTGTGGACCGACTATGTAGCGGTCTGGGGCGGTGAAAATGGTCCGTTTACCGTCGCCGTCGAGCTCGCACTACAAGAGACAAGCCACGGCCGGTTGTTCCTCCGCGGCGTAGCGACGGCGCGTGCCATGACATCGGTGGCCGACGAACTCATCTACTGGCGACGCCATAACTTGCGTTCGTTTGAACTACAGTGGCAGAACCGGTATCGACCGGGCGTGACCGAGACAATGGTCATGCAGAATGCACTCGGCATGCCGCAGCTCTTGACGCTCAAGGACGTACCGCAAGGCGCGGGGCCGTGGACATCGGTGATTCTTTTCTGGCTGCCGCTCAACAACCTCTGGCAAAACCAAATGTTCAACCGCAGCCTGATCCGGGGCTCGTCACGGTACTTTCTCGCCAACATCTCGGTAGACCTCCCGGCGCTCGACGTCGAGGTCATGCACGGCAACACGAATGTGCCCGGGCAGTTTGCCGCCCAAGCCGCCCAATTTCGCCGCCTCATTGGCCCCTTCCAGAGTGTCGACAGCCTCCATGTTCCCGTCCCAATATCGCTTCTGAAGGCCGTTGCCGCGCTTCGTGTCACTGCCGCCAACGACGTGGCCGCTCTTGTGTCGCCGGCTACACCGATTCAACTGATGCCACTCGCGTGGCTCGGCTACAACTATTATGGCGGCAACCCGCTATGTGTCGCGTTGCCAGCTACATCGTACGTGCAGCAGTCGTTTGACTTTACAAACGACTGCTCAGCACCCAAACCACTCGAGGTGGTGCTCGACCCGCTCGCGCTTCTTGTCGCCCATGTTGCCACCATCAGCACACTGTCGAGCGAGACTCGTTGTGCTGCGGCAGCGCCTTCCTCGCTAGCCACGTGTTTGGCCGCGCTCAACAGCGTCGATGCAATCTGGCCCGCCCACGTGGCAATCACTGATTGGTCGGCCGCACGGCACGATGTCGGCCTCGGCCTTGGGTTGATGCAATATGCAACGACCGCGAACGGCACGTGGCGCGTGCTTCGGCAGCCACTACTGGAGCCGTCGTTTACGTTTTTTGGCTGGATGTTCCTCGCCGACTGGGCGCTGGGGCGTCGGGAAGTGCTCTCGTTCCAAGGGGACGTCGGCAGCGTCGCATTAATCTCGAATGTCG